TATTGATGAATTTTTGTTTATTATTCTAAATAGGGTTGTTGACACCAATGGGGTCTCTTGGAGTGGATTTTGTTTCCCCTAATGAAGAAATGGAAATGGAATTTGACTCAAGTGTTTTTCCTCCATTTAAATTATCTCAAATTAGGGCTTCAATTCCAAAGCATTGTTGGGTTAAAAATCCATGGAGATCTTTAAGTTATGTTCTTAGAGATATTATTATTGTTTTTGCTTTGGTAACAATGGCCATTTTCATTGATAATTGGAAATTTTGGCCAATTTATTGGATTTTACAAGGTACTATGTTTTGGGCAATCTTTGTTCTTGGTCATGATTGGTAAGTTAAATAATTTTTTATTTATAAAAAAAATATTATTTTAATTATCATTTGTCTATGTTAATTGACTTGATGTATTATTTTTATTTTTAGTGGTCATGGAAGTTTTTCTGATAGTCCATTATTGAATAGTGTGATCGGACACATTCTTCATTCTTTTATCCTAGTGCCCTATCATGGATGGTTGGTTCTTTTCATCTTATCTCTATCTCCAAATTTTTTTAAATAAAGACAGTCTGATGCATTAAATTTTTATTTTGCTTTTATGGATTTTGTATTCATACTTATTTTATTTGATTGTATTGATTCAATTCAAAAAATATATTTCGTAATTGTATAATACAAATCATGATAATATGTATTTGTATTAGAACTTATTAGGTTAGATCACATGCGTTTATTATTCACAATCATAAAAAATTATATTCATATGTACCTTGCATATGTAGGAAGGGTTTTTTTTCCGTTATTTTAAATTAATCACAACTTCTTAATCATGTGACGACAACTTATGTCATTTTAAACTTATTAAAAACGTTCTCGTACTCATAATCTTTCAAAATCGTGTTACTTTGAAGAGTTTAACACGTATCAGATATTCTTTTTTAACATTCAGAGCAATATAAACGGAAACTATGAATACCTTTTTTTGGCAATATTTGTCTTATGTAAAATACATTAGGCTAAATTTTATTTTCTCTACAAAAATATTCCAGGAGAATTAGCCACAAAACTCATCATCAAAACCATGGAAATGTTGAAGCTGATGAATCTTGGGTGCCGGTAAAAAAATAAATATTTTAAATTTTATTTCTTTTAAAAAAGTAGAAATTGTTTTAATATTGAAATATATATATATAGATTTTTAATTATTTTTTTTTTGCAGATGCCAGAAAAAATATACAAAGAATTGGATTTTGCAACCAAATTTTTTAGGTTCAAAATTCCTTTTCCCCTATTAGCATACCCTATTTACTTGGTACTAATAATTTCTTTTAATAATTTTTCATATATAATATGTAATTTATAAATTATTTTTTCTCTAATTTGTATTCTTAAATATATTAATTTGGTGATGCAGATTACTAGAAGTCCAGGAAAAAAAGGTTCTCATTTTAATCCTTATAGTGATTTATTTCAACCTAATGAGAGAAAATGTGTAGTAACATCAACATTGTGTTGGACACTCATGGCTGCTCTCCTCTTTTATCTTCGTAACGTCGTTGGTTCTCTGCAACTGCTTAAGCTTTACGGAGTTCCTTATATGGTGAGTCATACATTAAAAAAAAATCATGAACATTTCGATACTTTGAAAGTCGAAAAATATATATTTTTATTATTTAGTCTCATTTTCAAAAGATAAATCTATTTATTGAGATGTTCAAATTTATTAATCATTAATTTACTTATATTCTTTATTAGCTGGCTTATTATATGAAAATGACATAACTTAGTCACATTTGTGGGGACACTTACATGTGTGATTCTTTAACTTAGAAGTATTTTAATTTTTAAATAGTTCTTTTGAGAATTTATGAAATGTCATTATAATTTGACCCACTTGGCCTGTCTTTTTTATTTTGTTTGATAGATTTTTGTGATGTGGTTGGATTTTGTGACATATTTGCATCACCATGGCCACGAAGAAAAATTGCCTTGGTATCGCGGCAAGGTCGGTATATATAATTTAAATTTTATATTTTATTTTTATATTTAATTTATTTATTTTTGTTCGAAAAACAGGAGTGGAGTTACTTAAGAGGAGGGTTAACTACAATTGATCGTGATTATGGTGTTTTTAATAATATTCACCATGATATTGGCACCCATGTTATTCACCATCTTTTTCCTCAAATACCACATTATCACTTGATTGAAGCGGTAATTTCTCTTTTATATATATATATATATATATATATATATATATATATATATATATATAT